GGTCATTAGGAATTACACCTTGATAATTTAGTTCTTGCAGGATATTAATCCAGTTCCATTTGCTCTTTGGTAAGATTCAGGATGATTGGTGAGCTAGTTTAAACTTCAAGCTCCAAAAGGTGAGGAGAGTTTCTGTTTGCTTTTTGAACAGTATCTAGTATAATGTGGAAAATACTTAAAAAGGTTTAACCTAATTTTTACACAGTTTAAGGACAAAAGCTGATTTGCTTTGTCAACAAGTTAAAAACAAGTATAAATGTGTCCCTGTAACAACTTCCATCTATCTAACCCGTTGCTCTGCAGGTGTATTTTGCATGAACAGATGGAAGGTGATTTCTCCCTCTCCCCCAATACACATTTTCCTAAGAAAGGCTCTCAAATTCCACCAGATGTATCATTGTATGGTCTGATTGCACAGCTGCCCAAAAATTAACCCTGTAACTGGAACGTGTCAGGATGGGCACTGGAAGCAATGGATTTTAAGGGATACTGTAATGGTTGCCTAGTGACAGCATTCAGCATATAAATTAAGCTCATGACATATCTTCACCTTGTAAGGCTCTACTGCCAGTAAAATCCATCAGATTTGAAATGTAAACTCTATCAGTTTGAATGTTTACATGTGATGGTCCCAACTATTGGTTTACCAATACAAAGCAAGTGGAAATCCTACCTCCCCTTCTCCTGTTGCTCACAATGCCTTTGAGAGTTATTCCCCCTCTCCTCCCCAAGGTACCTCCTTCTCAAATATTTCATTGTTGACTCTTCTGTTGAGCAGTGGATCTTAATTTATGGAATTTCTTTACCTCAAATAAGTGACAGCATACAGGATTTTTCTGGAGTCAATTCGGTTGAAACTGTTAATCCCAAGTGGCTTCCTCTTCTTTGTATTTGGCTCTTACTCTGTGAAAATGCTGCTTGTCCATGAATATGATGTATGTTGAGACTGTAAAACCAAATGGAGAAAACTTGTTCAAAATAAAGCCTTTTTTTTATAAGAATCTGACAGAAATTATCCCTTTCCTTTAGATGGGATGTCGCTCTCTAAATGACTAATGAGGACATAGACTTATGTTTCAAATTCTTAGCTCTTGCCTTGAGCTTTTTTTTGAGTGATTCTTTGTCTCCTGGTTTTTAGAGCTAGTAAAACTTCTCTTCAACTAAAACAACCCCAACCTCTCCATATTTATTTCATGAAGTTTCAAGTGTGCAACTCGGGGGTTAGGAGCTTGGGGGTTTGATTTGGGTTCTTCTAATCAGGCACTGGAATGTGCTGCCCAGGGAGGTGGTGGATTCACCATCCCTGGAGGTTTTCAAGACAAGAGTGAATGTGGAACTTAGTGCCATGGTCTAGTGACCACAGTAGGGTTGGACTTGCTGATCTTTGAGGTCTCTTCCAACCCTGTTGATTCTATGATTCTGTAAGGATTTTGGTTGAGAGTTGTGGTGGTCTGGAGAGGACAAGAAAGCTCATTTTTGACAGAAGGAGCACGTCTAGTTGAAGCAATGAGTAACTGAAAGGGGTGATGACTTTCAGAGGTGATTCTTCCTGGTGTTGCATTTCCAGTGTTGTACAGCAGCACCTTAAACCATATCTGCTGTCTTTTAATACCTTAGAAGTGAAACTGCTTTCAGAGCAGTGGGGGGTGGTGTGGGTAAATCATTCCATTCTCCAGACACTTCCTGCTGTTGCTGCACTGATGACTGTCCCTAAAGACAGTCCTGTTCAGGAAAAGTGTGAAAAAGCTGAAAAACGACCAAGTTGGTGCTTCATTTCAGCTGGTACAGCAGCAATGGTTGTCACAGCAGAGAGTATTTCTAGGTGCATTTGTCACCTACTGCAAGGCTGAAGCTGAGCTGTTACTGTAGAGCACAGTTTAACCTTGGAGTGAGGGAATTTCAGTTTTAAAAAATAATAATGCAAATTAGAGCCAAATGTCTGTGGAATATATCAGTGTGTCTTTGATCCATGATGCATTCTAAAGCTATGCACAAGTATGGCTGAATTCATCTCATCAACCAGTGTTGCTTTTTACAAATCACACAATGGTTTGGGTTGGAAGGTCCTTAAAGATCATCCAGTTCCACCCTGCTGCCATGGGCTGGGACACCTTCCACTAGACCAGGCTGCTCAGAGCTCCATCCAACCTGGCCTGGAAGACTCCCAGGGGTGAGGCATCCACAGCTTCTCTGGGCAACCTGTGCCAGTGCCTCAGCACCCTCAGGGTGGTGAGGGTGGCTCCAAATTCAATCCACACGTATGGAAAAGGGAGTGTGTCTCCTTAACTGTGACAATCCTGGGCTGGGACACCTTCCACTAGACCAGGCTGCTCAGAGCTCCATCCAACCTGGCCTGGAAGACTCCCAGGGGTGAGGCATCCACAGCTTCTCTGGGCAACCTGTGCCAGTGCCTCAGCACCCTCAGGGTGGTGAGGGTGGCTCCAAATTCAATCCACACGTATGGAAAAGGGAGTGTGTCTCCTTAACTGTGACAATCCTGGCAGCAGTG